GGGTGTTGCAGTTTTTCTTCTCGCCAGCTGCACCAGAACACGATTTGCCGCCAAACTGGGGGGCGGGGCTTGTACAGGAGCGGGACCTTGTACTAGATCCGCCCCCACAGGCTGTTGAGCACTTGGACCAGGAAGACCATTTGGTGTAACCCCCGTCAACTATTTAGAAAAAAATCAAACATGTCTCAAAATGATATGTCGTTCACTGTATTTGCAAAACCTATTGAATCTGATTTTGTCAAGTCATGTAGTCCTTTTGAGTATCTCTTCTTATTTACGTAAGTTGCCAACAAATATATCGCTTCAAACACGGTTTGGGTGTTGGGCATTTTTCATATAGATATAAAAGTGGCTTAATTTATCCTGTTTATATAGACGAGCACCAAGCCCATGAATATTTATTTATTTCATACGGAGCCTATTATATTATCTATTGGTGTCCTTAGAATACGGAGTAAAACGCATTCTTGTCAAACATTATTTCTTTTAATCTTCTTCGTAACGTGAACCAAGGAAGCAACTTTTCATTCATTTAAGAAAGTACTTTGTTACTTCATTTTTGAATTCTCAATATTTTCACATTGTTTTTCCGTTTCAAAGAAAATTCTAAAACAAAAAAAAATAGTGATTTAGATTTCTTCATCACAATTTTTAGCTATATAGTTCAAATAAATTTATTTTTGCCAACACTGTCAAAACTAAAGGGGTGAAACCCCTCTTCTTTTTCTCTCTACATTTACATATAAATACATGGCCTGTGTGTTGCATTTTCATATAGGGGCGGGGTCGGTAATACCAAAAAACAGGTGCCCCACCTTACTTTCCGGCAGAAACCACTGTGTGTTATAGTTATAATTAAAGCACTATCTATTCAACATTATAATTACAATTGTTTTATCAATATTGAATAATTCCAATCTTAATTTTATTTATTGATTCCCTGTGTTTTGATTGGACGAGAACAAATTCAAGAAAAAGTTTACACTTCGATGAATTTTTCAATCAGAACTACTTTCTTGACTATTTGTAAAAACAATGAAAACAGATACTTCTACTCCGTTTTAGCTAAATTATGATTACAAGAAACCGGAAATAAAAAATGAATGAATGAAAAGGAGATAAACAGGACTGACAGACGGGAATGTTATGTTTATGTCACTGTCGGATCACGAGTGTTAATTTTAAAAAATCGCTGATCATGATGTCCACCCCCATATCAGCTCAGTTGGTATCGTTGTGATAGAACAGGTACCCCCTTTTCAGCATCAAATTCATATATTTATATCCTACAGATCCATATTCTCCCTAAATCTTTGAACGACTGAAACCACGGTAAAAAAAGGAATGAGTATGTTATAGTTATAATTAAAGCATTATCTATTCAACATTATAATTACAATTGTTTTATCAATATTGAATGAATTCAAAAACGAATCCAAGTTTATTTCAGTTTTTTTAGATACTTATTTATCTTTTTATTCATGTTTAATAACAAACGTTTTACACGTACATCATACATGTAAATAATACAATTGCATGTTTAGGCATTAACAACTTTTTAGAAATTTTGTACATGGAAATTTGAAATAAGATACTCTAAATTATTTTTGTTTACAGAGCCATCGTACATGCGCAGTTATGAGTGTTGCAACTTCTTTTATCATCCTCGCTTCCGGAACATTTCTTTCCGCCGTATCTCGGTGTTGGTTTTGTGCATGATCTCTCACGGGTCTGACTTCCGCCTCCACAAGCACGAGAACAGCGCGTCCACGTAGACCAATCGTCCCATCCACCATGGACTTTTGGAAAAGATAGTAAAAGGTAACAAAAACTATGAATGAATAAAAATAATTAAAGTTTATTTACTAGTTATATATTTTAAACTTAATGCAGTTTCTTTTTATTCATGTTTAATAACAAACGTTTTACACTCATCAGAGAAGTAAAAATACAATTGCATGTAAAATTAAATAACAACTTTTTACAAATTTTGTACATGGAAATTTGAAAACGATAATCTAAATTATTTTTGTTTATCATACTTCATATGTATATACTCAGTATGACATGTATTACTGTATATTATTGAAAACAAGTATGATCAACAAATAGTTATATAACATTTTTGAAGAAGTTTTCCCATTATATCACAAATATAATATTTTTATCCATATGCCCTGAAAAACTGCCGAATCACGCCGGATACAGTTATGTTCCACCGGAAACAGTTATGTTGCCCCCCCCGAACACAGTTATGTTCCCTCGCGTGCGATCATTCTGCATATTAAATGCGTCGGGTTCGAAATTCACAGAGGCAGTAAAAACGTAAACAAAAATTAAAAAGTCGAGAATAACGTTTACGATTTGTTCATTTGATATACAGAGGAATATATATTTTAATTGAGGATGAAAATTCCTAAAATTTGTAACAAAGGTTATCAGCATACTGAAAACATTTCACTCTCAGGAGAAGAATTTTGGAAATATGTCAACGTACATGTGTACAATTAAATAACATGATGAATACACAGATGATGTTTAAAAATGTTATATAACATATATTAATGACTTTATTCGAGCTGATTTTTTCCATTGATCATACTTCATATGTGTATATTCAGTATGACATGTATTACTGTATATTATTAATAACGAGTATGATCAACAAATAGTTATATAGTTCCAATGTTTGAAAAGAACACTTGACTAACCTGGACAGGCTTGGGTATTACAATATGCTCCATCGGAGGATGATCCAGAGCACGTTTTGCCGCCATATTTTGGTGTAGGATTAGTACAAGTACGCGTGCGCGCTTTCTTTCCAGTTCCACAGGGTTTTGAACAGGAGCCCCACGATCCCCATTTAGACCAGCCGCCGTTTACTGAAAATCAAAGACAAACTCCTGAAACATTATTAACGATAAAGGAAAGATCAGGTTTTGTTTCTGCTTTAAAATTTGTGTGTACGCATGTAGATCGTTGTGATTCGGATGGACATCAGCCAATTAAATTGATAACTTGGTTTCCTTCATATAAAAATTAAATTTCGAATACCTTACGTAACTCTCATAACTCATTTTTAGTGATCGAGCTTTTGACAATTTACGTACTTGCACATGAAGATGTTCCACAGGAGCGCTTGTCACTTGAGTTTCCGACGCACTTTCCTCCGTATTTGGGATAAGGACTGCTACAGGATCGGGATCGGGTTTGGGATCCTCCCCCGCAGGACTTGGTGCACTTAGACCAGGATCCCCATCGTCCCCAGCCTCCGTCCACTGGAACCGAAAAATTCCCTATGTAAATCTCACGATATTGGCATTGCAAAAAAGAAGCTCTTCTCCTCTTTGATAACTTGACTGGTATGCCGCGAGGTATATAGGGAGAATTAAAACTCCATGCCTATCCTATCCTCAACCAATAAATTCACTGGCGTCTTGCAACCGATGAAACGAATTCTGTTTTTGAGTTTAGAATTCAACTTATAAAGCACGAGGCAACAGGAATGAAGAAAAATATCAATTTATAAAGATCGCCGCTTAATGTTTTCAGAAAGGAACTTGGAAAACACTGTATTGAAAAATGAAACGTTCGGCAAAAAGCATCTCAAAAATGAATTAATTGAATTTGCAAGAACAAAGTAAAATATACACAGATTTAAGTTGATCACTCAATACTTACCGGGACAATATGTCACCAGTCTACAGTATTTATAGTAAGAGGAGCTGCCGGAACAAGTCTTGCCGCCATATTTTGGAGTTGGGTTTGTGCAAGATCGCTTCCGGTACGAACGTCCATAACCACAAGTCGTAGAGCAGGAACCCCAAGATCCCCATTTTGTCCAGCCGCCGTTAACTTTTAAGTGGAAATTATCATGTTGAGTAAATATATGATGCTATGATATTAGGAATGTTGAAGCAAATGAGAATGGTAGAAGTCAAAACTATTGTATTAATGACGGTGGATTATCTCAATATCGAGACACTTCTTTATTATAACATAATGGTTTAATTTCAAAAAACATAGATGAAATCGTTGATTCATACTTGGACAGGCCCCCGTGTTACAGCTTCGTGAGAGGTAAGATGATCCAGAACAGGTCTTTCCACCATACCGAGGGTAGGGTTTGGAACAGCTCCTATAGCGCTTAGATGTACCTCCCCCGCAACTCTTGTCACAACTTCCCCAGGAACCCCAAGACCCCCAGCCTCCGTCAACTGTCAACAAATAGAAATCGTCATCACCTTTTTTGTTGTGGAAAATTTCTAGCAACAACAGATAACTTGGATTGATATATGTGTTGAAGCGTATATTCACATAAATATATATAGTTATCTAAAATAACTTACTTGGACAGGATTTTGTGGAACAGGCGTAGAACTACACATATATCAATATCTTACTTGCACTGGACACGATTATGTGTACAGTGTACAGTAGAATTACACATGTATCGATAACTTACTCGGACAGGACTGTGTGTTACAGGAGTAGGAGTAGGACGAGGATCCACTACAGCTTTTCCCTCCATTTTTAGGAGCAGGGTTGTTACAGGATCTCCTCCTTGTCTTCAGTCCTCTACCACAGGTCTTGGTGCAGGACGACCAGGATCCCCATTTACTCCAGGCCCCGTTCACTGATCAATGAGAAGTTATTGTTAAATTGATTTGATTGATTTATGATTGAATGATAAATTTCGTGAAATTCTTTTTTTTTTTTTTTGTTTATGCATCTAAGAAATCTTTGAATCGTTCTATTGCAAACATTCGTGAACTGGTAATAGCCTTGTTTTACCGAGAATATTCAAAGAGATCTTTCGATTACTAGTATTTCATCACAAATAATTTTATTTTAATTTTTTTCTGCCAAATAAATTTATATAAAAAAATTAAGGAAGAAAATAGATATTTTTGCTTTGGAATGGGAAACATGTATCGAAAGACCTCATGCCAGGATTATAGTCAACATCATTAGCTTCTAAGGTTTAGATACACCATTTCCTAGTAATGGGAAACCCGATCATCACCTGGACATCCCTGGGTGTTACAGGAGCGTGTGGATCTGGAGTCCCCGATACATTTCCCGCCATATTTAGGGGAGGGTCTGTTACAGTATCGGTATCTGGACTGGGTTCCTCCTCCGCAGTTCTTAGAACAGCTTGCCCAGGAGTACCAGCTACCCCAGCCACCATTTACTGAAAAAGTTGTTTTAAATCTTATAATTAGATATTTAAAATAAAAAAAATATTTACTGTTCAATTTGGACATTGTTATTGAATATTGGAAGGAAAGCAAAATCTTGAAACATATATCGATAGTTACTGACCTGGACAGTACTTTGTGATGCAGGATTTGGTTGAAGTGGAGGTTCCAGAGCACGTTTTCCCGCCATATTTGGGGGATGGATTGTTGCAGGGACGAACTCTGGTCTGCACCCCTGTTCCACAGGTCTTAGAGCAGGAGGTCGACCACCTTCCCCAGGAACCCCAGTTACCGTTCACTGTTGATGTATATATAACTCTTACTATTGCTTAACATAATACTGTTACCTAACTTTTATTTGCGCGCTAGAAATAATCGCAAATTTTGCGACCTACATTAAATCGCCAGTATTTATCGCTGCAAACCATTTAGTTTGTTTGAAATTTGTAGAAAATGTTTCCTCCATCGAGAAAATCAATTGTTGCGGATTGATTTCAAACTGACGAATTGCGAATAAAAGATGACGCGAACAATAGTTGCTTCACAGTATATACTGACATGTAGAAGTGTTACTAGTCCTAGTTGTAGTGTATTGGATTTTCTGATAACAGCTAGCAATAGAGAATTGTTTGAGGCAACGGTGAAAGTAAAAGAGGTTACCTGGGCAGTATGTAGAGACGGTACAACTTATAGTGGAGGTTTCACTTCCGACACACTGTTTGCCGTCATACGCAGGCGCGGGATTGTTACAGGGCCGCTTCCTGGTTTTCAATCCCCGGCTGGAGGAGGACGACATACACTTTAAGGAGCAGGAGCCGTAGGAACCCCAGGATCCCCACTTCCCGTCAACTGGGAGGAACAAAATCAGCAATATATGGTCTTGTTTTAAACAGTGATTTGTGGAAAGTTTATATGCTACGTCTACATGTAAGTAGATTAGCAGAAAATTAAGATTTGATTTGTATATAGATTTTTTTAATGTAATTATACATGTATTTTTGATGGATTAAAATTTTGCAATAGTGTATTTTTGTTCTTACTTGGAGGGGGTGTGGCACAATCTTCGTCAAATCTACCGTCTCTGTCATCATCTAAAACAGAAGAATTGTCCAAAATAACCTCCTGAATGTCATTATTATCCTTTTAAAAAAGTTTTATATGATCTCTTTACTGTACCCTTGTCCTTTTCACAAATTGTTGCGGAGGACATTCGTACATCATAACACAATTTTATCTTTTATATCCTTACGCTTGTTAGTGCAACCAAAGTCTACAATAATAACTATCCTACTCAATGTTTTTCACTCTTTCGTCTCTTTTCTGTTCATTTCTTCGTCCTTAATAATTTCATTTTCCTTGTATTACTCAATTGTGACTTAATAGCTAGCACTTTCTTCTTTACTAATCGTAACGGTTCTTTTTTCATGTCACTTTTAATGAACCGAATTTAAGATTTATTTATTCTTTGCTTTCACTTTCCATTTCAGCGATCATAAAGGGTTTTTTCACTAGATCCCCACTGTCCTTTACGTTTGATTTCTCTTTTTCCAACGTCTTTCCATGTCATTTACACTAATTCGTCACTTTTCTATTCTGTTTTTTAAACTTTTTATCAAAATCCTGTTTTTTCCTTCATTATCTTTTCCATTCTTTCTTTATGATCGGTATCTTGTGAACTATACTTAATTTCCTTTGCACGGTTTCCTCCCATCAAATGTTTCCAAGCAGCTCTCGCTGCCATACCTATACATGTGTTGACTCCATCCAAATCCTAACCATTTACAGATACGTATTTCTTGCATAACCGTCCAGTGTAAAAAAATCTTTTCGGGTGTCCACAATTACTTTCTCTGATATACCTTCCCTTGATCTTTTTTTCAGAAGTGCACGATCACACTCTCTGATTTACCCACCCTTTCTCTTTTTTCAAGAGTGCACAAAACTTTCTGATATACCTACCCGCTCTCCTATTTTCAGGAGTACATAGTTCTTCGTCGATCTTTCCGTCGCAATCGTTGTCAATACCGTCTCCAACTCTAGTCGGCGTTTTGATACACACCTACAAAAATTTATAAGGATCACGAGAATCAAAACAATTTTATTCGTGCTTTTATTTAGCGCAGTCACAATGATACAGACTTAAGAGTAGTATATATTGAGTTGTATTTGTTGTATTTAATATGCTTTGTTGTTTTCTACTTATGTTCCAGTATTTGATTAACCAATTAATATCATTAAGAAAACTAAGTACAGCAGCAAAACTAGCAATAAAGGTAGAAGCATGGGGGTGCACTTCATCTAAATATGTTTGTGTACATACAGCATTGACATTAGCCATTCGCATTCCTGTGGTGAAGCCGTAGGTTTCATAGTTAGCCTGTCCGTACAGGAAACCTCCAAAGATGGAAATTGGCGAGGTGTGACGAACTGTGTGGGAACCTTCCTTTACCGAAATGTAGCCACCTACAAGGTCCGTGCCGGATATAGTATTATATCGCGTATTGGAGGGGAATGCTTTACCATCCAGCCGCAGACCTTTGTATTCGCTCTTTTTCACGATGAACATGAAGTAATTGTTGTAAGACCCAAGGGAGTACTTTGGTGTGGAGAAAGTGTAGTCTGCTCCGAACTGTTCCATTGGCGGAATAATCATCATGGCTGGATCAGACTGCTCCCGGGAGCTCTGCTGAGATTGAACAAACTGGACCACTAGGATGGGTTTGGATGCCTTCACCAGACAATACGCCTTGGAGGAGATCAACTTCTGCACCATTTGCCCCTTTCGGGAGATGGTGAAAGAGGAGCGGTACCCACCAGATATGGTCACTTTCGTGTTGTCCTCACTGGCAATAAATTTAAAATAGTCCCCAACAGTTCTTAGTGGAATGGGGACGGTGGCAAACTCCTTACCCCATGTCTTCACTGGTGTCATCTGTTCCACCAGATGGTCAGAGGAACTTCCCCTTCCTATTCGTGTCTTCTTGTTTCCGGAGAAAACTGCCACTGGGCGGGATGACTTAACGTAGGACCCGGTCAGATCTCCAGTCATTACTACTTGCCACGTGTCGTATTTATTGAGGGTTTCAGAGACCGTGTTACCTTTGTAATACCTTTTTCTGTTGTAATAAATGTACCGACTTCCCACATGTTCTCCAACCTTAACACTAACTTTTGTTCCGTCGTACGCGCCAACTACAAGCAATTCGCACTGATAGCTGGGAGGATACCACGCGACTACGTAATATTCCTCTGATAATACGTCAATGGGCAGAGCAACAAACCCGTCGCAGGAGTACCTCTCCTTGTTAACACCATAAACGACAACTTCATCAGAGGCAACAATTCGGATTCCCTTGTTGGATTTCGAGCTTCCAGACATTCGGATTTTTGGATCGAAGAATAGCTGTTTGACCTGTCCAGCAACCACGCTAAAACTTTCTGAAATCCTCGGACTGGTTGATTTCGGCGTGTCAACTTTGACAGACACTGGTCTTGTGCGTGATGTCGTCACGAATAATTCCACCTTGATGCTTAAGGCAATGTTTTCCATGAAGCCTATTACAAATTCTTTTCCTCTATTATCCGGGGCCCCTACAATTAATTTAATTAATCAATTTATTTATTTTTATTTATGAGCTTAAAAAAAATAACGTTTTCTGATACTATGAAATTTACTGCAGATTAATTAAAGATTACCCAGAGAAAGATAAAAGTTTTATATTTAAAAAAATTGACATTTGGCTTAAGAAAAACATTGATAATTCTAGATCAAGGACCCCTTCTACCGTAAACATGTTTGAGGTTCGGTAAATCCGCTACGTAAAGTCGATTGGGATGCCTGAATCCAAGTTAGACATGCTATTCAGGATTATCATAACTTACATGTAGGCTCTAAATCCCTTGAAATCTATAGATTTTTTTTTAACACAAAATAATTTTTGCCAAAAGAATTTTCCACAAACATGTCATTTGTCATGATTTCATACTTTTTAGTATTTAAAACTTCGCTTTTAAAGCTAGGTTCGCAATCTAATAAATAGCCTTTTTATTCATTTAAAGCTCTTAGCATTTTGCATGCCGTGTTCCCCCATCTTCTTTATAAAATTGCAAACTGACCTGATTTTTTTAAAATCTAAAACTTAGACTAAGACCAGTTTCATGAAGAAAAAAAATACCTGATGGCGAGCCCAGACAAACAAAGGACAGAAATAGCAGGCTTGGAAGGAGAGCCCCTAATGAAAATAAAGAAAAGCATATAACGAAAAACATTTAGATATCAAAGTACAACAAACAGTGTACAATTCATAAAGGGCATTTTACGGTCGACGTTTTAAAAGCATTTTGCAGGGGATATGAAATATGTTAATAATTTTTTTTTTAACAAAGGTAGAATGATATAGTAATCTACAATCGGTGTAAACCGGCAACAAAGTCGATTATTTTCTACAGTCCTATATTCATTACTGGTAAATTAGAGAATATATTTTCAAAGTAAAAAGAAAAAATAAAAAAACATGTCAAAGTTAAACTTTTTCAAACAAAATAAGAAGCATCTAACACTGAATGGAACGTTAAAATTTCTCCATTAATTTAGAAAAATCATATTTTAATTTAGAAAAATCATATTTTAAGGTTGAGGCATTTTACATATCAAAAAAGAATACGTGTTTGCTCTGCAGTTTACTTTCATTTAAATTGCAATATATATATTAAGTGTTATTTTTTCAGATCGCTTGTTTTTTAATGTTTATTTTATTGATAATTCTTAGTTTAAATGCACACAAAAAATCTAGATTTAAAAAAAATATAATCAATATTGTAGAAAATTAACACTGAACGAAAATTTAAACTTTCTCTATTAGATAAATTTTTTTTTTTTTTTTTGAGGCATTTTATTTCAAGTTAGTTTAATAATTTATTCTGCAGTTCAGTTTTACTAAATATCTATTAAGTATTACTTTTTCAGCTAGGTCTCTTTTTTTTCGATTATTTTACTGAATTTTTTTTTTAACACATGAAAAAAATTTAGATTTTATTTGTCAAAATCATATTTGTAAAAGGATAGAAAAAAATCGTTCATCACAATACGGGCTTTCTCTTCTCTGCACTGAATACCATTAAAAAAACTATATACTACGTGTGAAATCGTCTAGTATATCGATAAATTAATTAAATAGAAAAATTGCTAGTTTCTTTTTATTTATTTATATTTTTGTTACAAGATTTTTGGAAAATACACATAATTTAATTTCGTTCCAAAACTGAAAGTATTATAGGTAGTCTTGAGGTTTTTTTTTAAATAATCATCAAAAAGAAGAAAAAAAAATATTTAGAATTTTAAATATTTTTCTAAAGATTCATTTCTATAAGAACTCACCCATTTTCCAATGTTAAGTTGTCAAGTACATGGGGATATATTACCTCTTTTTTAGATCGAAGGTCAACTTATATATATACTCGAGGAATTAATGACTTTACAATTTCTTAATCTTAATTAATCTATACAATCAGCGTACAGTACTTAAGGGTTAAATGCCATTCTTTGACCCCTGAGACAGCAAAGTTCTGTTTTTAATTAATGAGTTTTGTGATTCAGATTTTTTAATATTGCTTTAACATTCAAATTTAAAAAATAATGAGTAAAGCAGTGTTCACACTAGCAGTCAAGACAGTGTGATGGCACTTAAAAAAAGGGGTTTTTTTTGTTACTCGTGGATGCAATGTGTACTTTTTGTGTGTATGTATGAGGTTGAAAAGAAAGGGGAGATCATCACAGTCTAATAATACCTCATATGCTTACAAAAATTTTAAATTCTAACAAAATGTTTAACAATTTATTCAGTCTCATTTCTTTAAATTAATTTTCTATTTCCTTCAAATGAAACGAAAAAAAGCCTTATGCTGTTAAAATTTTTAAGAAAATGCTTCAAAATAGCATAATCGTTGGTGATCTATGTTAAGTATGTTTTGCTTTGTAATATTTGTTGTTTACTTAATAGTATGTCTTGTTTGGTGATTTTGTCATATTGTGTTTTGCATTTTCTTATTTTTATGTAGATATACATATGTCTTGTTTGATTATTCTGTCATTTATTTTATTAAATAAATGACCTCTTCTATTCCTCTACTGAATGTAATGTCTTGTCTGTAATAGGGAGCTTACGTTATTTAGGTACCCACAAATATATTTATGCCTCCTCCTTCCTTTACCTCAACATAACATAAACACCATTATGTTGCAATTATAATTTATTGATCAAATAAATCTTGATCAACAATCCAAACATGTAGTAGAAACAAATCAAAATATCAACCAAAATATTCCTAAAACTACATGCAATTATAAGGTTCACAAAAATAAGCAAATACAAAAGAACGTACAAAATGCAATCAGTACTTCAAAAACCAAACACTCAAGAGTTTACTTTTTCATACAATGAACATAGCTAAGTTAAAAAATTGACTTTGAATCTGTCTCAAAAAACAGACAGACATACACACAAATTTACACACATAAATACATATCCGTAAACTTGAAAAGATACATGTATGGGACTAACAGATAAGTTCAAATGTTAATATCTCGCAATAATTAATCAATTGATAAAAGAGGCAAATTTAGAGAATTGTTGATTCAAGCGATTGATGTTTCTTTTGTTGTGGTGCATTTTTTTGTGGTATATTTAATTGCAACAATTTGGTCAATTAATGATTAAAAAATGAATAGCTGTGTATTTTAACATTAAAATATTTTATATATCAATTGTAACATTATTTTTGGATTAACCCACGAATAAAATTTAAGCTTCTCTCAAAAGTACCATATTTGGCTTGCCCTTTGGCCTCGTTAAATATAGTACACCTCAGGTACATATGCACTGACTCAAAAACAGCAAAGATTATATAATAAGAGACTTTTAAGGCAACCGTTTAAATCTTGATTTTAGAAACTCTGAGCGTGCGTCACAATAGTACCGTATCCAGTAAACTGTGAATTAATAGTGAATCGAGAAACAGTTTAAAGTTATATGTGTTAAATTTCCAGCGGAGTGTTTTTATTGGATGACCTTAACACACAATTATCTTACGAACACAATATGTCAGGTGAAAGAACACGAAGTATTAACCTTAATAGTTTGCCCTGAGAATTATAAGATTTCAATGCTCCTTTTCTATATCTTTTGTAAACAAGGCGATTAACCTCGATCACATTTTTGTTATAGGTATTTGGCACAATTCTTGACTAAGCCCTGCTTATGATAGGATTATATTTATACATATATATGAAATGAAAATAAACTTCATACACTTGATCTCCTTACATGTTTTCTGTACAAAATTTAGCATCCATGTTCAGTTATCAAGGATATTCTAGAATTATTGCTTTTCATTTAGAACGAACTACAAAATTTAAATTATCATTTTGATTAAATTCGCATATATTAAGATAAAAATAGTTTTAAATCCGATAAGTAGCGGTAATAGTATTTAATTAAATATTTAAAGCTTTTTAAAAGTACAATAGCCTTTGTTATGAAGTTGAGATTTTTTTTACTATCCCGTAAGCGACATAATTCCTACCGGACTGTAAGGATATAGGTCAGACACGTGAAACTGATTGATTCTCAATCAATAATAAAAACTGTATTGATTTTAACAGTCCAGACGCTAAGATTTTGATTTAGAAAAAAATGATAATAACGAAAAGTAGGGTGACAAATCTCAAATGACTATTTTCACGTATTTCATTTGTTTCTTTGTTGAACATTCATTCTAGAATTTTTTTCACTCATATAGAAACGCCATGTGCACGGTGACTTCTTTCCTTTGGGAATACAGATTTAGACCTGTATTCGACATTTAGGGTCTTTGAGCTGTGAGGTATTCTACTGCGGCAATAGACCTCGGTTTATACGGTATCAGCCGAAGGACCGGTCTCCACGTCCCGCAGTGGGATTCGAACCCGCAACGTCAAGTATCAATCTATAGAGCAAATGCTCTAATCACTGCGCCTCGCTGACGACCATAGATATTTTTTTAAATAATCCCGAAGGTAAAATTGTGCTTCTCCCTTCTGCTATATTTTTTCCAAGAACCTTGTCAATAATAAAAACAAGGTTAAGTCGTACACGTTGTTTGAAAATTACGGCACCCCTCCTGCTGATGTAAAGGAACTTAATAACAGAGAGTTTTCGGCCTTTTTTTATTTCCTAGGGTACAAAAGTACAAAGATACATGTAAATGAACATAGTTGGTTTGATTTTCTAAATCTTTTTTTTAGTTTTTATATTTACACTTATCTAATAAAATTCAAATTTTTGCCAAATAATAATGCATTGAAATGTTTTTGTACTGCTATACCTTTAAAGATTGGTTCCTCTATAAACCAATACTAATTAAAGTCTATAGAACATTCCCAATGTTTTTCTCGGCGATCATAAAAAATTTCGATGATTGATCGGGGAGTGTGATGTTGGAGCTGTCGATAAGATGTTGGACCGTTTATGTCACACAATGGGCGGGGTCAAATAAATCTCATTTGCATTCGGG